GTGGCAAAGCATTCGTATTTCAAAAATACTGAAAAAGAAATAATTCTCATGCCTGGTTCTTATTTTGAAGTCATGAGCCAATTAAACCCTGCACCAGAACTCCATATTATTCAATTAAAAGAAATCACGCCACCAATCACATTTGTTAGGCCACCATTTGTGAAATCAAACGAACCAAAGCCAATTCCAATCGCTCATCAGTCAAGTGCATCATCATCATCATCATCATCATTATCATCATCAGTAGCAACAGCAGCATCATCATCAGTAGCAACAGCAGCATCATCATCATCAACGACAATGAAACCTGTACCAAGTGCTTCCAGTAAAATCTTATCGAAAACAAAAGGTACGAATGATTTTACAATTCTAATTATCATATCTTTATCTATTCATTCTTTTATCAACTGAAGAGTGCTAGGAAAACTCTCATAAAAGAAAAGATATTTATCAGGTGAATAACTATATAGAACTATCGTTGAATACAGCTTGTAACATCCTAGCGAGGATTACATTTTACGTGAAAGAAATAACAATAAAACTTTCTCTTGAGAAAAGAATGTTGCTTGAAGATAAATTTAATGTTTCTGAAAAAAACATTGAACATTATGCATGATTTATGCTCTTAGCATATACAAATCCCAGTGAAAAATGTTCTTAGAACAAAACATAGTAGACCTAATCAATGGAGGGATTCTTCCGAAATCTACGATAAAAATAATGACGACTTAAATTTATTCTTTTTAATGCGGTGCGAATCACAGCATTCATGTAATCCGTCGCGAGTTCTTTTTTTTTTACTTGAGATCGTACGCATCACATCAAGTCGTTTTGTGACAGAATGATCTCGAGAACCAAAAATCATAGGAAATTCGTTGAAACGTGAGATCGAAGTATCAAGATCGATCTTTTGTCCCTGTTTTCCAATCTTGAATCTGCAGTTCCGTTCGTTCATAAATGTGGTTCCAAAATGACGAAAATGAAAGAAATTTGTTGCGAGATAATTAAAGTGACGTCATCAACAAATGCTAGCCACTAGTGTATTCGCTCACAGCTGATAATAGATATTGAATCATTGAGATAATTAAATGTTCAACCGAAATCATTCTTGCAAAACATGTCGCTAGACATACACGGAGTTTTCACAGTGATGCANACAGTGATGCATTTGTTAATCGTCACTTAAGTAGTATTTGAAATTTCGATCAGCTGCTCAGTAGAAAATTTTCGCATTTTAAATGCTTATACATAAATAGCGAAGCCATTTCCACTAAGAAACGAAATTAGAGAAGCCAAGACCGATTTTTCGTTTCTTCTTCTTTGGAACTATACGTGCAAATCATATCAGGTCATTTTCTGTCATGATGATCTCAAGAGCAGAAAATCACAAATAACTCGTTCCAACGCATTGTAAACGTATCGAGATCTAACTGTTGATATCTTTTATTCCATCTTCCATCGGACATTCAGTACGCTCACATATATCGTTTAAGAAAAAACACAGCGTTGAAAGGACTTTTCGTTTTCAAGATTCGAAATGATTAAAATGATGTAATGAAAAAATATTAGTCACTAGTCTATTCACTCACAGCTAAAACTACATAATAAATCATAGATATATTTAAATGTTCAATCGAAATCGTTCTATAAGAACACCCTCATAAGTCTTGATAGAATTCTCGTAGTGATAGATTCGACAATAGCCGCTCTGAGTGTATGTTAAATTTCAATTATCTGCTCCATTGAAACCTTTTTTGTTTCTTATTACAACTGCTGAAGACAGGAAAAGGTGTTTATTCCAAGCGAATACGAAACTAATCAGGCCAAAACAATGTCTAATTAATTTTAAGATTGCTTGTTCTTTTTCCGTTGAATTTTTTATTTTTTCGTGTACTCGGCTCGTGCTTTGCACCGCATTTCGTATACGAGTGAAACTTGAATACCATCTAATTTAAAAATATTATCTGAACTGTCCATGGAGTTAGTCTAAATACAAAATAAATGATTAAATTTTAAAAGAAGTTACCCTCAAGACTACAATGTAATTCATATCTTAAAATAAAAGTAATCATTTCAGCTATTGTAGTCAAAATTGATCTGAATAAACAAAATGTAATATTCTAATATCTTATTTTAAAACTCAAACTGTCTACTATTTTTTTAACTGATTACTAGACTATATGTTAGGTAGATATAATGATCAGACAAAAAACTAAGAAAGAAATCGATAAATAAACAACAGTTCAACTAGATGCATGATAGTCTAACGGACATACTATTAATTAGTGTATTCTTTGATGATTCGCTACAGAACTTTAAAAAAAGCGATATCCTTCGAACAGAGGTCAAGCACATGACCATTATCAAATAGAACGCAAGAAGAAAAAGAAGAAGTATTCCAATAGCTTGCGAACCCACTCAGAACGAGTTTGAAATGGAAAGAAAGCAATCTAGATAGCTTTCCATGTTTTAAAGAATGCTTTCACTTTCGTGGTTTTTTTCAGAAATACTTTTCACTGAGATTCTAATAGTGAACTTATAACACACTCGTTCAACTGTATCAATTTTGAACAAACTATCGATTTTATGTTACATTCACCATTGGATTTAGCATTGCTTAAATGTAGCAATAATACAAATTCTTTAATCGATTAAAGTTACACGACTATACTACAGTATAATGAATGAAGATAGATCTTAGTTACTAGTACTATTATCAAAACAAAAAGAAAATATCATTGATAAATAGGATTTCTTTTTAATTTTCAATTTTATCATAGTTACTGGTTTTGAAATTGTAAAATTGTAAAATTCTCATTGTATAACGTATCAGTTATATATATATGGATATTTGCTTTCAGTAATTTCTTTAAGCTATAAAATTATATGTATACAGTTAATTCCATGCATCTTTTAGATTTAAATTCCTTACGACGTTTTACTTATATATCATATTTAGTTTCGAAAATAAAATAGAAAAACAAATTAATTATTTTTGTTTTGGGATAATTATATGAATAATAATATTATATTTTGTATGAAATTGAGTCAGTAATGATAGAAATCAAATTGAGCTTGAAAGATTATTTGATAGACAAATCTTTTTCATTCGAAACTATTCAAAGTTTCGAATATGAATTCTTAAAATAAAAAAAGAACGGTTAATTCTATTTTTGGAATGACTCTAGATATCGTGACGAAGTTCAAGTCAATTCTAGAGGATAGCTGTTCGCTAACATGAAATTGTATGCATGCATACAATTTTTTCATATGCTTTCTGATGTGAAAAAATGAATTTAACTTTGAGAATTCAAATCATCTTCATTTGTCTCTACAAATCATTTGAGTAAATCGGATATCAATTCGATATTTACTATCATTGAATTACAGTTCCAAAACTCGAATTTTTCTTTCTTAAGTTGACTCTATATGTTTTTTTATGGAAGAATTTACTATATTCTTTTCAAATTAAATTAGAGAACAGGTTATTTTATTACTATTATGATCGATTCATTAAACAAAATTCTTGTAGAAAAACAAAGAATTTCATCGATAATAAAGCTACTTTGATCATCACTATATTTATTGCTTCAATACAAAATAACAAAATTCAAGTCAAAGTAAAATCAAAGAGTAGATGTATTTGAATAATTAATATTGAATGAGTAATGAAAATCTTAAGCTTTCAAAAAGCTGCTTTGAGATTTTCTTTATATATTCAGAAATAGACGTTTTATCTAGAACCATATTATCGAATTAAAATAGAATCAAATAGTAACCAAAAAAAAAAGTTTTCATTAGATATCAAGGTTAGAATAAGATCATTCCTACGTGCCTATTTATAAGAAATTAATAAAAACACACCTATCTATCATGTGAATTGAAAATCTTTAATAACGTTAGAACAATTGGCATCTGTATCTAAAATAATATACGTCGACTATTACGTAATTAGTTAAAAACTTAGAGAAATATTTATTTATCTAATCTGAATAGAATGAGAAAACTGAAGAGTGACTCGTGATCATAGAACAATTAGTATGGTTCGGTCTTATTGTGCAGATTGATTTCAAGATCATTAAAGAAAACATGCCTTTGTCGCGTATCTGACACAATATTAAGAATCTTGTGAAACATATTTGATGACTATGATTTCTATTTTGTCTTTAAAAGGGTGTGGGTGTAATTTTTTTCTTGACTAGAGAAATGCTCATTTATCTGATTTATTCATATTGATGACTGAGAAATCGAGATTTGCTTAAAAGAAATAGATATTACTGATTCGTCCCATCTTATCATAGAATCAATTTGTCTATGGATAGTTTCAAAGCATGGATATGACGTCGATGAAAATTATATGAGATATATTTTTGTATAGTTAAGAAAATAAAATATTGTTCTTGCGAAAAAATATACAAAACGACATATAACCAGATTATTTTGATCCAATGCAAATAAATAAATTTTAATCTTAACTCGTCATTTAGTCATATTTCGTTCGTGAAACTCTGTTAGAACATCTTTTAGTGCAAAATTCTTAATCGATTCTTGTCAGTTAATATTATCTTTATTTTATACCAATATGTGTTTTTTCGATACTTTAATTTGTTTGACTTTCTTCTTTTTAAATT